TGTGTGTGTGTGTGTGTGTGTGTGTGTGTGTGTGTGTGTGTGTGTGTTCATGTTTCAGGGCAGGGCAGGGAGACATGCTGTTCAATTTAGAGAATCGGCATGATGTCTCCTGGTTCTACACACATATACACACACACACATTACACTAAGCATAGTGTACTGTATGTATGCAGAATACATGTACAAATACATGCTGGCCTTTGTCCTCCTGCACCAAGTTCATTAACAAAATGCACAACTATTAACTATTATGAGACACAAGCTAAAGGCGTTTTGATTCTGGTTGCACACTTTCTCTTTGAGAGTGTGTGTGTATGTGTGTGTGTGTGTGTGTGAATCGTGACAGTTAAACAGCACTGTGCACCCACACTGCTCTGTCTTTCTTTGTCTCATTCTATCTTTGTGATTATTGCCCCAAAGTATGATGTCATTCTGTTGAAAACCTGCTGCTAATCAACATGTACCAAGCTGATAGTCTCCTCTTTGTTTTTTTATCCATTGACAACATATTGCAACATATCACTGAGTACAGCATGCAGCAGGCAGCAGGGTTTGGGTTGTCACTGTCAGGCTTCGTTTGGATTTGTCCTCCGCTTCCTTCTCTTCCGCCTCAGCTGAGGCAACAGTGGTAGAAATGCCATCCTGTGTCTACTGTGACGTGATGCACTGTGGCACCTTTGGAGCTGAACCACCAAATGGCTGTAGCAGACATGGACCAAGCTGCTCACACATAACATAGAAACACACATAGGGGCATCCACATACAGAGATGTTTTAAGGTCAACAGAAAAATGTACTGCCTCAGATAAAATAAAATAAAAGACCCATTATGATCATGAGATAAAAGTCTTTAAGCATTGGGTCTGCAGTTGGTATGCCACCTAAATTGAAGGTGGTGGCATTGGCCTGTACCATAAAGTTGGATTACTGAGCAGCAGGCCAAACAAAATACAGAACAGCTCTGTTTTATTCTCTCCATGTTCCAGATTTGAAGGGTTACCAACCAGTAATCCAGCTAACTTCAGTAATCCTACTTTATGATACAGGGACCAAACTCACTTATCCAAAATACTCAGAACCAAACTGAGCTGAGCTAGACATAAGAGGTTAGAACATCCAGTAACTTCACCAAACAACAACCATCAAATAGAGTAGGACAGAGCAGGATGTGCAGGAAGTGTACTTCCCGGTTGTTTTTTTTTGCTCTGTTGACCAAAGCTTGGGAGTCAGCAGGTGTGTCTGTCTGCTTTGTACAGTCTGGTCTGGTTTGTAAAGATACGTTTACTGTCTGTTTTCACAAGCACGGCCAGTGTGGGTTTGGCCCCGCCATCTTGCATCAGGGCTGAGATGATTAAGAGCTGCCTGACTGGATGGAAGCAGGACTGCCATGGAGCAATAATCACACTTCAGACCTCAAGTGGCCAAGAGCGTACGCTGATTTTAATCGGCCCGAACAGCACAGATTGACTGCATCCTGAGCGTCAGTGTATCTAGATACATTTTCTCCACCGATTATCGTGGCATTGGGATGAGAAGCTGCTTAAGCCACTAAGTCGGCCCATGGTGAAAATCTCATCAGCGATATATTTTTATCATATGTAAGGATTTTGTCTCCCTGTCCATTTCTCTGTCTGTCTCTGTGTCTTACTGTCTAGCTGTGACGCTGCTGACACAGACACACTGTTAATGTGACAGCTCTCCTCCTTGGAGACTGTGCACCCCGTACATAAATCATCAGCCGCCGCCATAAAGCGTCGAGTCAACCTCAAGCGAACTCTCAAAGACCGGATTGTGTTTGTTTGCAGTTACAGCGGCAACTCCTCCATGGTTTTGAAGAGTTTTTTGTTTGCGTGAAAATGTGGTTGAGCCAAGGCCAATAGGTGATGTTTTATGTCAGCGAGACACTTGTTTCCTCTGCAGCCTTGTTTGCATGTTACCTCTTACCATTGCAGAGACATTTGGAAAAACAGTAGACTTACACAGACTCAAAGTGAAATTTGCATTTATACCGGTAATAGAAGGCTACTGTAAGGTACATTTACTGTTTGACAACCAGAGACGCATGTCTCTTTTAACACACACATGTCCAAATATTCACAAAGAAAACTAAAACAAAAGACACACATTTTATCCAATATGGGGCATAAATATGCAAAGACAAAAAATACAAAATAAAATGAAATAGAATAAACTATAAATAGCATCTTAAACAAAACAAAATAAATGCTAATATAACTTGTTTCCATGTGGTCTATTGACTTACAGTGGAATTGTATTGTAATGGTAATAATAACTATAAAATGTTTTTTTTAAAGTACACCAATTTTTCCCAATCAAATAACTAAATCACTTACAATACATGTACTGTACTGTGTAATACTGGAGAAATTATAATAATGTCTCGTTAGATAACCCGTCGTGCTTTCCTTTCCAGGTTTTTGAGACAAAGTTAGCCAACCTTTACTTAAATCAAATAACCATTTGATTTATTTTAATCATCTGTACGCCACAATATTTAAGGGTTTTGTCAAGCTATTTCATGGAAAATGAACACTCTTAAATAATCACAGCACTGTAGAATACTAAAGAAAATGGGACAGATATGATCACAATGCTTTGACTATTTAACACAATTCTGTTGTCAAAATAAACGATTCATAGCGAGATATAACAAAATGAGTTGTCAAAGTCTTTGTTTCACACGTGACGACTTGTTTCTGATGTATGCAGCTCAGTAGAACACAGATAATTATATATGCCCTACACTCTAGATATGATATACTGTGTATTGACATCAAAAACATTCCTTTTAATATTGTCTATTTCAGCATATTGTCCTGCTAAAGCTGGCATTCTACGAGAAAATAATCAAAAATCGTTCTCAAACTCATGTTCTCTTTCTGTAATTTCCGCTAAAAACTGAGCGTAAAACATGTTTTGTCTGCGTGAAGGGTTTATCCACCCCAGCTACGCAGTAATCTCTCATTCTTAAATCCATGGCTATAAAAGCTTTACCAGGCAGATGTTTGTCCCTCGCCGATAGAAATACTATACAGCAGGGGAGGGTTTATACTCCTCTCTGTAGGTGCAACGTAGCTGGAGTTTTGTAATATCCAAGGTGGGAAATTGATATTTCAAAGCTTCCCTCGTAGAGAAACATTAGCTAATATTTGTAGTCTGAAGAAAGAATGATGTAAATGTTTGATCCAGGTTTATCAGTATGATGTTGGCTAGATTGTAGATCAGCTGGCAGGGATGTATAAAGAAGATCTATGGAGGAAATAGATTGAAACAATCCCGTTATCCATAAAAATGATGAGTTCTTCCTCAGGTTGTATTCTTGGCTTACTCCTGAGATGAGCTGATGTGAGTCATTTTGCCTCGGTGGACCTTGCTTCTGAATGTCAAATGTTTTTTATGGAGGAATGACTTGTTCTGAGAAAGTCATGCTGGATTTTACATTTAGCTTTTAAGTCTAATGGAATGCAAATGAGTGGACTTCCAGCCGTGCCCGGCGGCTACTTCTGCTGTCTTGGCCGTAAGCACCGGCTCTGTGGGTCTGCTTGTCTTTTTTTTCCTCTTCTCGTCCTCCTCCACGTGGTGCACCTCTTAGGTTTATGCCTTGTGCATGTTATCTTTAACTCAGCATTAACAGACTGAAACAAAAGACCTTCATTCTTGTGGTTGGAGCCACTCAGAACTGGAGAAAGGATAGAGAGAGAGGGAAAACCTTGTTCTACTCTGTTCAGAGATAATGAGATTGTGTTGTTCAATTCAGCCTGAAGTTGTTCTGCGTAACATCCAAATTCCCTCTCACGGATCCAACAACCTTAGAGAAAATCTCTAATTTACTAGAGCAAACACATCAAGCCAGTCACTGCATTGTGTGTTGATTGTGTGGCTTCAATGCAACACCTAAAAGCATAGAGACAGAGGGCTTTTAAATAGAAGGTAAATGTCAGTTTCCCCCCCATTAAACTGGTGGATTACAATATATGAAAGAGGTAAAATAGCTGTATTGGAAACGTTTTACGTTCTTTATGCTAGTAACTAATCTTATTCTCAGTTTTTTCCTGTAAGCTTAGTTAAATGTTTATTTATTATCTTAAGCTGTTTGTCCATTACTTTAAGATGTGCTATGTTACATGCATACTCTATGTGTGTGCAACAGGTTTAGTTGCATCCATCATTTGGTTTTAAAATGAAGGCATTTGAACGCTGCTGTTTAAACAACCACATCTCTCATCAGCTGATGCTTCACTGACATTGTGACTTCAGACGCCTTTCATTTCATTCTCCCTCCTGACCCGACTATCAGATCACAACAAGATTTTTGACTCAATGCCTGCCATAACACTAAAGCAATGAGACACTGAAACCTCCGACAAGCGTAGAAACGCCGCACCGTGACAGGGATCACAGTGTGGCGGCTGTCATGTTGTGTAAATGATCTAACAGCTGCCCTGGGCTCGTGACATTTACACCAAAGGCTTATGTGGCTGATTCATGACAAAGCGCAACGATTTCATGGGAATGTATATGTTCTTCTGAGGATTTAATACAATGCAAGACTACCTGTATTAAGGATTGTTCTCTCTGTGTCCTCTCTTCTTATGAGATATCAGTGTAGCTTGTATGCATCCCACACAGCCTTGAAAGTGACTGCTCAACAAAATCTAATTTTATCATGCATGTCAAAAGAGATCCTTTTATTCAGTCAATCAAATTGTAGTCATGGTGCCAAAGTTTAAAAACTGGGATTAAGTGACAGTTGTGACTTTGAGTTAGCCCACATGGGACTCTCTATCTGTCTATCTTCCTCTATCATACATGTTTTTTCCCCTTCCTGTCCTGATCCAGGCTCTGCTCAGAAGATGCCGGCCACCGCCACAGCCTTGGACTTCTTCCAGCTCTTCGTCCCTGACAACTGCATCCAAAACATGGTCACCCAGACTAACATGTATGCCAAGAAGTTCCAGGAACGCTTCGGCTCAGACGAAGGCTGGCGTCCCGTCACAGCCCAGGAGATGAAGGCCTTTCTGGGCTTTGTCACCTCCACCAGCGTGCACCGCTGTGAGTCCGTGCTCAGCATCTGGAGCTCGGGCTTCTTCAGCAACCGGAGCATCGCCTTGAAGATGAGCCAGGCGCGCTTTGAAAAGATCCTCAAATACTTCCACATCGTGGCTTTCCGGCCGTCACAGGGAAGCAACCAGGGCCTGTACAAGATCCAGCCCTTCCTGGACTTGCTGCAGCAGTCATTCAGCTGCACCTTCAGACCTTCACAGACGCAGGTGTGTACACTCTGTTGCGAGCCTGGGTCTGCCAAAAGCATCCTATATATATATATATATATATATATATATAGATAGATAGATAGATAGATAGATAGATAGATAGATAGATAGATA